ACATAGAGACAGAATGCCCGAAGTACAGTCACTGGTACATTACTTTTCACGAAAGCATCGCTAGAACTATCGAAGCTAAACGTACTTTTTACTGAAAGTTGACAATGCAAGCGTTTGGGGGTTAATTTAGATTGTTATAAATAAGATTCTTTAGGTTCACTTATTAGATGCATGCGACCCGACAGCGTTGAAAAAGCGCTAGAGTTCGTGCAAGAGGAATTGAATGTAATGTGCCTTCAAAACCGCAACGAGTCCGGTTCTGAAAAAAAAATCGCGAAACTTACTACGAGTATTACCTAAACCTATTTTACCTAATAACTTACCCGCGTTTTAGCCACCCAATTCTTTTGCACGGCCTTCACAAATATGGCAGCCGCAACCACAAGGACGGAAGCCAAATTCCCAGCCAATGCCAGTTAGATCAATGAACATGCAGTCGCTCAGCAAATGTTTCGCGCGCCACCCCCAAATTACATCCCTCTAAAGAATAACTTTCAACTTACACCCAGATACGTGTTTCAAAACTAATGGCAGGGGCCTAAGCCTGGGAGCGGAGTAAGTCATTAGGTTACTAGGGAAAAACCTATAACTAATCAGTTAACCGTTCACTATTGGCGTGAGCATGGAAATATTCCAGCTCCGAATTATTTCAAAACGAAAAAAAACGATTTTAAATGAATGCAACAGTTGTCGTGACTATTGCTATCCTGAATGTTATTTCTATGACCCTTACGAATATTATTACCCTGAAAATGAATGAGATGCCTTATTATTCGGTCGAGTCGGGATATAACGTAGCAATAGAGGGGCCCTCCAGCTACTCTGACGAGCCTCAACTGTCGACTAGCACTGCCGAGGTTCAGAATTTTCAGGAGCACGTGAAGTTCGACAAGCCAAAATAAAATTTCATTTACAAACGCTAAGTGTTATATTACAAAACAAATATAAGGTTTATTTGTACCGATTTTTATTATTGGTGCAGTTAGGTCGTATCTTATGGTAGATAATGCAACTCCGGTGGCAGGACGCGGGGTAGCGCGTCTCTGCAAACTTGTAGAGCCATTGTCGTGTAATAGCGAGTCTGTTATTATCTCCTTGAGCTAGAGCCGTTATTATCAATACGATTTTTGTCACTTAGGCCTTATTAGCCGACAGGGGGCTGGGTTTACAATTAAGTCGTCTGAATTTGAGGAATCTGTCACTGTGGGGGGTCAAGGGGGTTTATCTGAAGCATCTCCACGCGATTTTTGCTGCCGGAGCAGCGTCGAAGTATTTTTAATAATTTTTTAAAAATTTTCTTAAGTGATTAATTAACTAAATATTCTCACGTTTTTGACGTTGCATCTGTGTCAAAGTTTACAATTAGTACCAGCAATTATTCTATAATTTTTGTATCTGAATAAATAAAAACAAATTTTGGCATGCTTCATTCAGCGCACACACAATTAAAAATTGTTTTATTATGGCCGGATATCCGACACAATATGGCGGCGGCACGCCAGTACAATATAGTGTCAACAGATGACGTCATTTGTATTCGGCAGTATACTGAAAACGTTTCGGAACATACCCAGAATAACGATTTTTATTTGAAGCTCCCGGTAAACCGAGCACCCTAAGCAAACAGTTGCGGCACCCACCCTTGCTGTTGTCGACCACGTCCACGCCAAGCTCCACGCCACGCAGCACACCCGCCAGATCATTGGCGCACACCTTAGGATTATGTAGAATAAATTTTATTACAAATTTCTCATTGTTATATTGATCTCCCTGATTTTTTTCTCAAGTTTGTGTTTATGAAAAAAATCTAACGAATAATACCATACCTAATATTCGAACTCGTATGTGAAATGAAAAATAAGATTGCGATAAAGTTAACTCATGAACGTAGCCAATATTTTGGCGACTATCCTACCCTGTTGAAACGTTGATGGATACTGTTGACAAATTTTTTCGAGTAGAGGACATCAATTTTTCAGGGGGGATTAGATTTTATAGGAGGTACCAAGCTTCCGTGTCCTTACTGGTTTAGCTCACTATTATTAGGATGGAAACATAAGATAATGCATTACACCATCTCATCCCATTGGGGTGGAAGGTCACAACTTCGACAATCACCATCATTATACCAACCTATCAAAAGTTCGCTGCTGAATATAGGCCTCCCTCATACATTGCCTCGATGAGGGCTTTGTGCCATATTTACCACGCTTGAATGGCAGGTTATCAATCACAGTTTCTTTTATTATTTTGAGTTGTTATCAGGAACATGTTGGAGTCCATCCTCTGTTTTATTTCCTTCTGTCGTTCTCACGGCGCCCACGGGACCTTATCAAAACCGTAAATAGTAATTATGCTTCAACGTCTCAAAGTAACGATGATGGCTTGCGTGCATCTTACAATATTTCGTTGCTTTTTTATTTATTTTTATTTATTTATTTAATTCAAAAACTTATAGAAAATCTAACACGCACAAGGTTTAATTTTACATGCAAAAAATATTCAAAAAAATCATCCAATTATAACAAACGAATTAATAGTTATCACTTATAAATTAATAATTAGAAATAATAATCATAAATTAAACAATTATGCAATATTAGTGTTATAAAATCTCTAAGCCTTTAGCAGCGCGTGTTGAGAAATTAAATATGAAAATATCAATATAAAAAGAAAAAGGTCGCAATCATACAATAGAGCGGATATTAAGAACGTTTTCATACAAAAACTGTGAGCTCGTGCGTGTGTGATACCCTCTAGCGAAATATAGCAACACTACGATGATTATTTGTATGGAAAACATTTCAGCTATTCCCCATTAGGTGACGCTATAGTCAACCAAATCTAAGAAATACATTTTAACAGCTGTCAGACTTATTGCACCAAGTATGCCAACCAAAAATGGGAACGTACAATATTCGATTCTTAAAAAAATCGATATCGATTATTTAGAGTTGGTAATCATTTACAATTTGGTTTGAATAATACCAGAATAAAATAAAATTGGATAATTTAAATCACAAGATTTATCAGTTTCTTCGTTGTTACTATCGTACTTGTTGCAAAGTTATAAACATTTAAGATTGAAAGTAGACAAAAAAATAAATTTATTCAATCACTTTTAGTACAACTAGTTGAGCTGTCGTTGTTTAGATTAATTATTATTTGATTTTCAATAATGCAGTCAAAATTAATCAATCAATCGTAATCAATTTTTAGTTGTTTTTTCTACCACTTGCCCAATCATCCTTTGCGACATGGGCTCATATTTCAACGAATATAGAAAAAACATTCCAGAAAGTCAAAGCCCAGTCACAAAATCAGAAGACAAACACAAAATTACATTTTTCAGCGCGTCGGCGGCCTTGTATATGAGCATTTCTCAAAATTTTTGACCATAGTCATAACGTCAATATCCCACGTTTTCTTCATTGATTATTTTATTACTATGGTGTTATAACTGATATACATAATACATGATATAGATAGAATTTCAAAAGGGTGTAAAAATTTAAAAAGTTACTTTTAAAATTAATATTCTGATAAATACCGAAATTTTCTTAGTATTTTTTTTCGTAGTCAAAAAACTCATATATGAGTTTTTTTGACCTCGAATTGTGGCGTAACTGAATGAAATACATGTCGATTTACTCCCTATAATTTATAGTTTACAATAGTGTTATTCGTTTTACCGTATTTACTGGGAATACTGGGAAATTAAGAATAGAAAAAACAGAACGAAATTTATACGAAATAAGTATAACGGTATTATGTGTAGGACACTCTTTCAGATGGCCAGATCAGCCAGATAAAATAATAGTACAACGCAGAAGATGTTATAGTAATTTTGTATTGCCAACAACTTTTACAGTTTTTCTTTTTTCCATCCACTGCACTGGTGTGAAACGGAACAGTGAAATTAATCGCTCGGGTCACTATTGAAAAAATGTAATAGCCTGTTTATTGGCAGAGGAAGAAGAATATAAAATTCAAAGATAAGAAGATTTTGGATTCATAATATTAATTAAAAAAGGCAGTTGTATGGAGAACATTATGCTTTATTTAAATACTTTTTAGATGATAATGAACAATTTTTCAGATATTTGCATTTAACATACAAGACATTTCAAGAATTGCTACATATTAAACTAAAACCATATCTCTCCATAGAAACCTCAAGATTAAGAAGGCCAATTGAACCAGATGAAAGACTTGTTGTATGTTTGGGGAAAGTATTTTTTTTTTTGATGATAGGATAGGTATTTTAGACCATGTAAAAAAATCAATAATATATATTTATGATAGGTTTTGTAAAAAGTAAACGAGAAATATTGATTTCTATTTATAAAAATGCATTATAAATTTTATAATTCAATTTTAAGAATATATTACAAAATATTTTTTAAAAAATAAATATTTAATATGTGCATTCCGACACGAAAAGTATCTTCGAAATATCAACTATTTTGTATATTTCAAAGGGGCACGAAGTTGATTTATTATTTTGGCCGCAATTTGCGAAAATGTATAAGCACACCCTAAAAATTGTCTACTGCGTAACGTTTACATAATGATCAATATAGTCTGAATAAAACAAATATATAAATGATACGTAGTTTTTATTTAGTTTTTCACGCAAAATTAATTGCTGAAATAAAGTCAGTTTTAACAATTGTTGAGTTTTTATATTGAAAGTAAACAATAAATTGTATCTTGCGTTACCAACATACAAAATAAACACGAAACTTTTCATTTAAACTGAATAAGTAACTAGATAAAGGCAAAAAACCTATCCTACAAAAGCCCTTTTATCTACAGTATATTGTGATATAAAAATATAGATTCTGATTTAGGCAGGAAGATCACCACGTTTAAAAACGAAAATTTAAAATTAGGGACAAAAAGTAACTTCAGAGACAAACTTGATAACGCCTAAGACATAAAATCAGCGAACTTATTTTTTTTTAATATTTAAAAAAAATTACCTGCTTTTAAACATAATGACTTTGAAGTAAGTAACAATCACACTGATACAATAAATTTAAAACTTAATTTACAAATAAGGAACAAAATAATATCACATTTAGGACAAATATTCTACTATTAATAATCAACGTCGTCATATTTATAATCTTGAGATCAAATTGCGACAGTAGTTATTTTCAAATATATCAATGGAATCAGTAAATTTATACATATCTTTTTCTAGAAGACTTGGTACCGGCAAGATGCTAATGACATCTTCATAATTTACGTAGCTGATATCCTTTTTGTCTACTCTAAACTTCTTCGCATCATTACTAACTACCCGTAAAAACATAACTTTAATTTCACCGTCTTCTTCTATAGAGGACAGAGCCTTGCAAACGTAAGAATAAATGTTCTTTTTTTTGTTACTGCCATAAACATGGAAAAAATCACCAATTGATACCTGTTGAGAAATTTTGTCGTAAAAAGTGAAAGCCACTTGGTCCTCCTCTACATGAAAATTTTGAAAACGAAATTTATCATCTACATCCATCGATTTACGATTTTTTCTTATCAATCTGTGACTCGTCGTCACTATCAGATGAAGATCCATGAACAGCTCGGTAAATACTTCGTTGGGATGGTATATTTTGGATTTGCTTGAACACGGCAAGAGGGACGTCTTCATCTGATGGATCTTGAATATCGTGTCTTTTTGGTTGGAGGATTTGAACGAGGATTTGAAGGTGGATTTGCTTAGTAGGGTCTAGATTTAACTGCTTAGCAGCATTACTATTCACTTGGTACGTTTTGGTGTTCAGACAGATGCAAAATCCTCTCTTTGTAAATTTACAAAAGCAGGAAAGCTCTCTATATTTTAATATATTTCTTTTATCTGTAAATACTTGATGATATTGAGTCGATGGTCGTCTGAGAAGAAATAAATAGTTTCAACAGCTTCATGTGAATTTCTTACCCATTCTAAAATCGGCTGTAAGTGGCTCCAGACAGCTGCAGGCTGATGACAACTTGAGGCAGAAACGGAGCAGAAGGAATTAGTGCATGTTGTTTTTCGTGGTTTTAAATGTAAACCATTACAGTAGGTACATAGTGTTATTTGGTTTCTGGACCCTCCGAAATAATGAGATTGTACCTTTTCGTGACATTTACAATTATAATTTTCAGAAAGTCGACTACAATAGCGCACTCATTGGGTTGCAATTTACTCAAACACTCGCGAAAATTTTGAAACTGGATTCTAATATTGTATAATATATGCTTTTTGAAAGAACTAATATCCTTCTCAAATTTTTGCCTTAGATGTGCAACTTCTGCAATTTTTTCCTCTTTTCCATTCTTGATTGCTTTTATTATTTTACCGTCTTTCTCGAACTTGACTTCTTTCCTCACCCATTCACTGTATTTTATAGTGCCATCAATTTTTTTTTGCATTTTTTTACACATACTTATTGTACATACAATCCTTTAACCGATCGTTGTATACTGTCCTTCGAATAATGACATTCAAATCTTTTGTTTTTTAGTAGACCTTGTTTTGACAACGCCTGAGCCTTGTACGACATGTTTGCGTGCATTTTACACATACAGGTTTCCCTGGCATCAATGGAAGGAGCAATGACATAAAATGGTTGATGCTTCGTGAAATAATAATATGAGCACGGTGTATTTGGATTTTCTTTCTTAATTCTATGTGAAGCTTTTTCAATGTATCCAGTAAGTATCTTCTCTGCATTTTATTTCCATTTCTTGTCACTGTTTCTTTTTTTCCAGCTGTAGCTGCTGATTGACAGACATGTGACAGACAGACACATCGTCGCGTACGAAAAATTGGTGAATTTTTTTTCCTTAGCTGTAGTATGCTACGATTGGTCTTTGGTTTTTTACGATACTCTCTGTGTATTCCGAGTGTTTCTTTAAGCAATTCTGTCTTCTTTCTAGATCTTTTAATAAAGCTAGTATTGAAAATGTTTTTAAACAGTCTTTTCTCATCTTTATAGCTTATATTCATACAAGAAGATAAGGAGTCTCAGCGAGAAAAGACTGTTTAAAAACATTTTCAATACTAGCTTTATTAAAAGATCTAGAAAGAAGACAGAATTGCTTAAAGAAACACTCGGAATACACAGAGAGTATCGTAAAAAACCAAAGACCAATCGTAGCATACTACAGCTAAGGAAAAAAATTCACCAATTTTTCGTACGCGACGATGTGTCTGTCTGTCACATGTCTGTCAATCAGCAGCTACAGCTGGAAAAAAAGAAACAGTGACAAGAAATGGAAATAAAATGCAGAGAAGATACTTACTGGATACATTGAAAAAGCTTCACATAGAATTAAGAAAGAAAATCCAAATACACCGTGCTCATATTATTATTTCACGAAGCATCAACCATTTTATGTCATTGCTCCTTCCATTGATGCCAGGGAAACCTGTATGTGTAAAATGCACGCAAACATGTCGTACAAGGCTCAGGCGTTGACAAAACAAGGTCTACTAAAAACAAAAGATTTGAATGTCATTATTCGAAGGACAGTATACAACGATCGGTTAAAGGATTGTATGTACAATAAGTATGTGTAAAAAATGCAAAAAAAAAATTGATGGCACTATAAAATACAGTGAATGGGTGAGGAAAGAAGTCAAGTTCGAGAAAGACGGTAAAATAATAAAAGCAATCAAGAATGGAAAAGAGGAAAAAATTGCAGAAGTTGCACATCTAAGGCAAAAATTTGAGAAGGATATTAGTTCTTTCAAAAAGCATATATTATACAATATTAGAATCCAGTTTCAAAACTTTCGCGAGTGTTTGAGTAAATTGCAACCCAATGAGTGCGCTATTGTAGTCGACTTTCTGAAAATTATAATTGTAAATGTCACGAAAAGGTACATTTAGGATTTCGGAGGGTCCAGAAACCAAATAACACTATATACCTACTGTAATGGTTTACATTTAAAACCACGAAAAACAACATGCACTAATTCCTTCTGCTCCGTTTCTGCCTCAAGTTGTCATCAGCCTGCAGCTGTCTGGAGCCACTTACAGCCGATTTTAGAATGGGTAAGAAATTCACATGAAGCTGTTGAAACTATTTATTTCTTCTCAGACGACCATCGACTCAATATCATCAAGTATTTACAGATAAAAGAAATATATTAAAATATAGAGAGCTTTCCTGCTTTTGTAAATTTACAAAGAGAGGATTTTGCATCTGTCTGAACACCAAAACGTACCAAGTGAATAATAATGCTGCTAAGCAGTTAAATCTAGACCCTACTAAGCAAATCCACCTTCAAATCCTCGTTCAAATCCTCCAACCAAAAAGACACGATATTCAAGATCCATCAGATGAAGACGTCCCTCTTGCCGTGTTCAAGCAAATCCAAAATATACCATCCCAACGAAGTATTTACCGAGCTGTTCATGGATCTTCATCTGATAGTGACGACGAGTCACAGATTGATAAGAAAAATCGTAAATCGATGGATGTAGATGATAAATTTCGTTTTCAAAATTTTCATGTAGAGGAGGACCAAGTGGCTTTCACTTTTTACGACAAAATTTCTCAACAGGTATCAATTGGTGATTTTTTCCATGTTTATGGCAGTAACAAAAAAAAGAACATTTATTCTTACGTTTGCAAGGCTCTGTCCTCTATAGAAGAAGACGGTGAAATTAAAGTTATGTTTTTACGGGTAGTTAGTAATGATACGAAGAAGTTTAGAGTAGACAAAAAGGATATCAGCTACGTAAATTATGAAGATGTCATTAGCATCTTGCCGGTACCAAGTCTTCTAGAAAAAGATATGTATAAATTTACTGATTCCATTGATATATTTGAAAAATAACTACTGTCGCAATTTGATCTCAAGATTATAAATATGACGACGTTGATTATTAATAGTAGAATATTTGTCCTAAATGTGATATTATTTTGTTCCTTATTTGTAAATTAAGTTTTAAATTTATTGTATTAGTGTGATTGTTACTTACTTCAAAGTCATTATGTTTAAAAGCAGGTAATTTTTTTAAATATTAAAAAAAATAAGTTCGCTGATTTTATGTCTTAGGCGTTACCAAGTTTGTCTCTGAAGTTACTTTTTGTCCCTAATTTTAAATTTTCGTTTTTAAACGTGGTGATCTTCCTGCCTAAATCAGAATCTATATTTTTATATCACAATATACTGTAGATAAAAGGGCTTTTGTAGGATAGGTTTTTTGCCTTTATCTAGTTACTTATTCAGTTTAAATGAAAAGTTTCGTGTTTATTTTGTATGTTGGTAACGCAAGATACAATTTATTGTTTACTTTCAATATAAAAACTCAACAATTGTTAAAACTGACTTTATTTCAGCAATTAATTTTGCGTGAAAAACTAAATAAAAACTAGGTATCATTTATATATTTGTTTTATTCAGACTATATTGATCATTATGTAAACGTTACGCAGTAGACAATTTTTAGGGTGTGCTTATACATTTTCGCAAATTGCGGCCAAAATAATAAATCAACTTCGTGCCCCTTTGAAATATACAAAATAGTTGATATTTCGAAGATACTTTTCGTGTCGGAATGCACATATTAAATATTTATTTTTTAAAAAATATTTTGTAATATATTCTTAAAATTGAATTATAAAATTTATAATGCATTTTCATGAATAGACATCAATATTTCTCGTTTACTTTTTTACAAAACCTATCATAAATATATATTATTGATTTTTTTACATGGGGTAAAATACCTATCATATCATCAAAAAAAAAATACTTTCCCCAAATATACAACAAGTCTTTCATCTGGTTCAATTGGCCTTCTAAATCTTAAGGTTTCTATGGAGAGATATGGTTTTAGTTTAATATGTAGCAATTCTTGAAATGTCTTGTATGTTAAATGCAAATATCTGAAAAATTGTTCATTATCATCTAAAAAGTATTTAAATAAAGCATAATGTTCTCCATACAACTGCCTTTTTTAATTAATATTATGAATCCAAAATCTTCTTATCTTTGAATTTTATATTCTTCTTCCTCTGCCAATAAGCAGGCTATTACATTTTTTCAATAGTGACCCGGGCGATTAATTTCACTGTTCCGTTTCACACCTGTGCAGTGGATGGAAAAAAGAAAAACTGTAAAAGTTGTTGGCAATACAAAATTACAAAAGAATTGCATATGTACAAATGTGCGAGGATGGTAAGAGGCCATCCACAAATGCGGCGCGTACAGCGTGTACTGTGCTGACAAATATGAGTTCAGCTTTAGGGTCGATTTTTCAATACTCAGATAAAAGTTGTTTATTCAATACTCAGCATATGTATATATGTAATTACTCTAAGGGTTGTAGAGGTGTTTTTGTCATAGTTACCACCTTTGACAGGTGCGGTGCCAACGGCAGTTTTTTTTAAATATATTTATAAATTTAAAAAAATATTAGGTAAAAATATTATATATTTTTAATATAAAAATATTAGGTGGTAGTGCTTGTTGACTTTTCAAATGCTTTTAACACAGTCGACCACGATATCCTTATAGCCTTCCTAACTAATCTTAGATTCTCAATCCCAGCTTTGGAATGGTTTTCATCCTATCTTCGCGGCCGCCAGCAATCAGTACGATTAGGGCAAGAGTTCTCAAGATGGGCTGACATTGAAACAGGCGTGCCGCAAGGCGGAATACTTTCTCCTATAATGTTTTCTTTATTCATAAATTCTGTCACTTCAGTTCTCAACTGTTCGTACTATCTGTATGCAGATGATCTACAGCTCTATGTGCAATCTAGTGTTAACGACCTTAACGATAATATTCATAAACTCAACCACAACCTCGATGCCATAAGAGATTGGTCGTACATACATGGTGTTTTGGTTAACCCAACAAAATGCAAAGCAATGGTAGGTAGTAGCAGATTGTTGGCTAAGATTAATAACGATAATAAGTCTTTTACAATGGAACGTTGTTGCCATTTTGTAAGTCTGTCAAAAATCTTGGCTTACATATAGACCATACCTTAAGCTGGGGAGTTCAAGTTGCCGAAACAAGCCGTAAAGTAACTGCCACCTTACGTTCTCTTTGTCGTCTCAAAAACTTTCTGCCTTTTAAAACTAAACTTCTGCTAATCCAGACTTTGATACCATTATTGATTATGCGGATGTGTGTTACCCAGATCTATCTCAATATCTTCTCGATAAGTTGGAGCGCCTTCTCAACAATTGCATTAGATTCATTTTCGGCTTACGTAAGTATGACCATATTTCCCAGTACCGATCTAAGCTTAAATAGCTCTCTATTCGTCAAAGGCGTAGCTCCCGAACTTTGCAAGTACTACATTCAATTTTAAAGGACCCAAATTCTCCCTCTTATCTTAAAGATAACTTTCAATATTTGTATTCTACTAACGATAGAGTTCCCCGTTCCCAAAATTTCTTAAAATTCGTATTCCACCACATAGGAGTGGTTTCTTTAATTCCTCTTTTACTATACAGTCTATACTGCTCTGGAATGCCTTGCTTGTTTATATCAAGAAAACTAATAACAAGAATTATTTTAAAAGACTAGTTCGAGAGTTCTGTCGTAAGAATAATACCACCTGACTATCCGACTATTGTTTTTTTTTCTCTCTTTCACTTTATAATATTTTGTATAATGTATTTTAATATGTATTATGTTATTTTATATATTTATTATTTATCCCATATTATATATTAAGTAAGTATATATATTTTACTAACTATATATCTATTCTATTCATTTGCAGTTTATTTTGTTTTATATTCTTATTATTTATTTATGAAGTGATTGGTTACACCTGCCACAGTTTCTCAAATCATCCAGGGTTGACTGGCAGAGAATGCCATAAGGCATTAAGTCCGCCCTTTATATCCCTTAGTATGGTGTATAATAAAGATTAAATAAATAAATATATAATAGCTTTTATCATTATCAGGAAGATATTGGTACCCAGGCCGTTTCAGTATCCCCTGTCCCCTCTTACGGGTAAAAACTCACGGGAGAATATAGAGTTGTAACTAACTTATACGAATTGAACATAATTTTGGTTTTACAAATACCGTATGTCATGAGGGCAAGACTTTCGTCTTAGTCTGTGTGACTGAATTAGCACAGTTAGCTTTAATCACTCTAGATCTATTTACACAATGCGTTCTAGTGTGTCAGCAATAGTGAGTGAACATGCAAGCGAGCGTGGCAGGGCCCATACAAGCGCAGTAGCTAGGAGCACTAACTGCCTAACTGCTTTTACACAATACGAAATTAGCACGCTAAATCACTTCATCACATCAAATTGAATAATTTAGTGCCCGCTTAATTATTACTGACGAACTATTATTTGCTAAATAATTATTTAGCAAATTTACACATAATATATTTAATAAGCAATGAAACAGCCTTAAAACTTACAATCAACCCCAAATTGATTTCGCCTTGTCTTTGACAAGAGAGAAAATTATGTTAAGAAAACTTCTTAGTGAGACTAATATATAATACAATAATTTATTGTCTATTATTATATCAACTGTCTTTTTGCTCCGCGGTGTAACTCGGACGCACTCGGATGCGAGTTGTAACATTCTGAGCCATGACCCACACTTATTATGAGATCACGTAACACGAAGAGGTTGAGCAATCACATGAACCTTTTTCATATTTTGGAGTATTAATAATCGCAGAATTTAAAAGAGACTAAAGCTTTTTCTTCTTACTTCAATCATCATCTTCAATCAATAATTTTCTGTTACAGCTGTCATCACCATCATCATTATTACAGCCCTTCACAAGTCCACTGCTGAACATAGGCCTCCCCCAAGCAATGTCACAAAGCACGGTCCTGAGCCACCTGCATCCATCGACTTCCTGCATGTCTTACCAGGTCGTCACTCCATCTAGTGGGGGTCGCCCTACACTACGCCTACCGGTACGAGGCTGCCACTCGAGAACCTTTTTTCCCCAACGGTTGTCGGTTCTTCGAGCTATATGGCCGGCCCATTGCCACTTCAGCTTACTAATCCGTTGGGCTATGTCGGTCACTCTGGTTTTACTGCGATATCCTCATTTCTGAGTCTATCACGCAGAGAAATTGCGAGCATAGCCGACCTTGAGCGTTCTCATAAGGCCAGCAGTTAAGGACCACGTCTCAGATCCGTAAGTTATCACTGGCAACACGCACTGGTTGTACACTTTAGTTTTCAGAGATTGAGGTATACCTGACGAGATGTGTCGTAATTTCCCGAACGCTGCCCAGCCGAGTTGAATCCGTCGATTGACCTGTCATATCACCTCTCAATCTCATTCAGAATCTCAGGTGTCCCGGAAACGATGTTGTCACACTCAGTCTTCAGCTTTGACAGTTGGCTCTTTCTGGCAGACAGATCTCGGGCAAAGACTTTGGAGCCCTGGTTCCGCTCGATCGCTTCTTTAATACAAGCAGTATTAAAATTGCGTAAGTCTCGCCGCACGCATTTGGAGATCTGTCTGTTCAGTTGCCTGTATGCTGTCAAATCTGTTGACGATTGCAGCCTCATCTCCCGTCTAACAGCCATGAGATTAAGAGTGTGATCGGAGAGTTTTTGTGTTCTTCTACGGCGGGTCTTGCAGAACTTAGCTCCGACCGCATGGACAGTTTCCACGAGCTTGTCATTCATATTGTCCACTGCATCGCAATCTTCTAGGCACTAAAATCGGTTACGTGGTTACGTAACTCGAGCTGAAAGGTTTCGGGATTCTGGATCTCTCTGGAGACGAGATCTCTCCAACTTAACGTTTAGGTTCAGTATGCCTCTAACCATTCGGTGATCACTGCCAGTTTTCACCCTTGCGATCACTGAGACATCACTGAACAGTTGGCGTCTGGTCGACATAATGAAGTCAATCTCATTTCCAGGTCCTCCAAATTCAAATTCATTGACCAGGTGGGCCGCTTCTGGAAGAAAGAGTTGATCATAAAGAGTCCCTCTTTCTCCATAAAGTCGGTCAGCTGCTGGCCCTTTCAGTTCCATTGCCCTACTCCAAATTTCCCTACCTTAACTGTTACAGCTGTATGCTTGTGAAAATCCTTTTTCTAATAACTTTTTTTCTTTTAAAAACAGCTCCACTGTTGATGAATATAAGACAAAGAACACCAAAGAGTGTAGCCGTACATTTGGAGAAAGTTAAATTGCCACAACCATATCATCCAATTTGAATAAGCAAAGCTTTACTTGCAGATCTTTTATAGCTCATGCTTTTAAAATCCTTTTCAATCCCTGTTTTTGTGATAGTGGTAGTTTCTACGTGGTAGAGCCATGCTGCAGTTATATTAGTAGTATAGTTGTAGCACGAATGGGTCGGCTCGACCGGGGAAGGACCACGCTCTCACAGAATACCAGCGTGAAATAGTAGCTTAATGCTGCTGTATTTCGTATGGTGAGTGTAGAGAACCGGAGACCCTTTTTACTGAAAATGAGGCATTCCATCTCAGTCCTCACGGGTGACAACGCATCTGCATTTTGATTTGTAATGGAAGATAGATGTAGATGTCTATGGGCCGCAGCAACCACTTACCATCAGGTGGACTGTGTACTCGTTTGTCAGCCTATTCTATAAAAAAAAAATAAAAAAAAATAGTGAAAAAAGGTTTAGAACAATCATAATGCAATTGTGGAGACTTCAATTTTATTACTTTTATTTATTTTTCAATAATGATTCAAATTGACTTCAAAACTAAATTGTTATTAACCTAAAATTTAATTATTAAACAGATAATAATAATAATAATAAAATAAAAAAATAATAATACGCCTATAATGTCCAGTAACTTAATAAATGAATAATATACAATGAAAACATTCTGAGTCATAAATCATCATATTTGTAACATATTGCAATCAAGAGTATAATAATCAGCTAACCTTCTTACACTAAGCTTAATTAAAACTAAACTAAATTAAGGAACATAATAACAATCTTGTAAAATTTATCACAGCAAAAAATTTTATATAAAAATATGCAGTAAGCCTACATTTTACTTGTTCATATTAAGCTTAAGTACTTTTTTTAAACTATCTGCATTTTACAATAAGCAGCGAAAGGAAAAGTTTGTTGTGAAAATCACTCATTATAATTTATATACTTACAATAACTGTAACATTAAAAATACAAGTAGAAACTCAAGATAAAAATACTATTGATAAACTATATGAATCAATATTTGTATCATCACATCATATAGAAACTAGGTCTGTGGGGTTCATTTGCCATTAAATTTCTAAAGTAGCTGCATCCGCAACTTTATGTGATGAGGGATTTTTTTCGCTCAATGGCTGTTGTCATTCAGCAAAGAAACAAAGCCAGGGTCTTTGGCATTATAGCACAAAAAGTAGGAGTTTATGAAAATTTTAGTTACGAATTTATTTATTGTTGTAACAAATATTAACATATATTTATCGGACATAAATACATGTTTATAAAAAGAAGTGCAATGGTGGTGAACCACCAATCATCTAGATGCTACTGATGGTATTGCGAGTCTTATTTTTATTGAATTAATTTCAGTAAATTTTACTTTAAATAATATAATTGTTATATCAAACACTAAAAAACTCATTAATCTACAGAAATCGCACCAACAACAATTGCTGGTCTTAAATTAAATTTTAGAAATCAGTCCACAGTTTCTATACAGTTATTCAGTTCTAAATATTGTACGATGTTGGTTTTCTCAATTTTTCTTTTATAATATCACAAGGAGACTTTGTACTGAAATCGAAAATCCCTATATCTGTTTTAACCTTTTCTTTAAGATATGGTGCAGCTACAGGCCTTAATCTTGATGTCAAAACTTTGCCAAATGGAGAACATTTACCTCTAGGAATCTTTTGCTGTAATATGAACGACATATCTGTTACACATGGTAATAAAGGCTCAGGTTTTATTTCTTCTTGTGATTCTTCATCAAAGTCAGTGAAGTTAAGTTGAAAAAGAGTCTCAAATGAGCTGCTTTTACTACGTAGCTCTTCTGAGTGAGAGGAAGCAATGGGTATGCAAGGAGTTTGCAATGCCTTCATGAGGTCAATAACATAATCTTCATTATCATCTAATTTCATTTTCTTCATTTCTTCCTCCAATTTTTGTTTTTCTTCTTCTTTTTGCTTTTTCTTTTCTTTCGCTTTTAACATATTAGCAACTTGTTTTGCTAATACACTAGTTATGGGACTATCACTTACACTCAAAGAAGGTATAGGTAGTCTTTGATCAGGAGAAAGCAAAAAAGTTTCTGAAACACTTCCATTGTGAAACCCTTTTGGGCAAGGAATTGGTAACGCACTTTTTCTATTCTCACTTGACACATTTTCCTTCAAACTAGTTTTAGAGAGATGACTATCAACTAAAGCAAATAAGGACGAATACTCTTTTGACTCCATTATTTTACAGTAATTTATTATCTAATATTGAATGTTATTGACAATAACTCTCACTCACTCGATTGTCTCTATGACTCTATATCACAAAACACTAATACCCTTACGGCGCCTCTACATGTTGGCCAACACAGTGGCGAATGTAGTGGCCAATAGTATTGGCCAACGTGTAGACGGGGTGTTTAGGCTTCATTGGTATGTATTGCATAGATAAATAAATATGTAGCAAGATGTATTGGAACGATGGCCCGCAAGTTGGCGCGAGATCCGTATGGTGTCGGTTTTTTACAAAAGATCAAAGGATTGTTGGCGGAGTTTGGTCGCCGCGTCCACACGTTGGCCGCGCGTTTAGTTTGCTACAAGCTCCCAGAGTGATTACACGCATCTGATCTAAATTTTATATTCAAGCTTTGTAGGGTGGATGCCCCAATTACCAGCCTTTTAGTGCCAATTTCAACTTTAAACATTTCTACTACTTTAATTAGCGCGATTTAATTATTATTGAACATTTGTTTTCATCAATAAGCTATTTATCAAAAAATAATTAACGTTTTTTTTTACAATCAGGTTATTACGAGAACAATTTTAAAATGAAAAAAAATGAAGCATGTCGTTTATACGTGGTAGAACCATATTAGAAGTATAGTTGCAGCACGAAGGTCGGCTCGACCGGGGAAGAACCACGCTCTCACAGAATATCAGCGTAAAATAGTAGCTTAATGATCCTGTGTTTCGTATAGTGAGTGTAGAGAACCAGAGACCCTTTTTAAAGGAAACGAGGCATTTCATCTTAGCCCTCACGGGTGACAACGCATTTGCATTTTGATTCGTAATCGAGGATAGATGTAGATGTCTTTGGGCCACAGTAACCACTTACCATCAGGTGCACTGTGTGCTCGTTTGTCACACTATCCTATAAAAAAACGTCGATTTCTTATAATTTAATCGTGCAAGATTTCGAATCATCATCATCATTACAGCTGTTCACAAGTCCACTACTGAACATCCTCCTCCACAGACTGCCGCAAAGCATGGTCCTGAGCCACTTTGCTCGTCATGAGTTTTTCATTTATGTTCTAAGTTATAATTAGTACCTATTATTAAGGCAGTGTTAGTTATATTTATTGCTATTGTTTTTGTCTTTCTCAAAAAATAATTAAATTACCAAATAAATTATAAGGTGTTTTTTATCTTTATATACATCAAAATTTTTTATATACATCAAATTTCTGATAGAAATGCAAGTACATATTTTGCTAAACTTTAAAATCAAAACCCAATTTTAAAACATAGACTAATCGATTATAACTCCTTTAACTTTAAAATAAGTTAAGTTCTTATTAATGGTATTTATTCCAGTTTATGATGCATGTAAAGAATAAATAAAGCTAATCGTATATCGTATATCTATTTACAGCCCCATTAATAACCACTATTATTTTATAATTCTTTTATAAAAACATTAACCCCACACTAGGATTTTCTCCCGTATCGCGCAGGCAGTTTACAAACATAAATTGCACAAGGACACACATCCAGACCCGAAACAATTATTTGTAGGACATACAAGTACTTGTTCTGTGCGGGATCAAACCCGTGGCGCCCGGCGCAGCCACTCATTGCTGAGCCACTGCGCCACGGTGCTTATAAATTCGTCCGCATATTGGCCCGAACCGAAGTAAACTGAACGACCTTCCAACGTGTGGACGCCGTCACCAACTCTCGGCCAATATATTCGCCACTCCATTCGCCACTGTGTTGGCCAACGTGTAGAGGCGACATTAGGCTCTATATCCACAAACTAATAAGAGTACTAACGTATTGCTCTATATCTTATAATTGTCTCAAAACTATTTACCACTATTTACACTAGGGATGTTTGATGATCATCGATATTATAAATTAAAACGTCGATGTTGCCACATGTCAAACATCGAAACATCGATATCAATGAACCAATAATCGTTTAATAAGAACTTGTGAACAATGCAAATCCGCGAAATTAATATTATCTAAATATTTCATCTCCTATTAAGAGTTTAAAATTTTGAATAATTCAAGGTTCCTAAACACATAGATCACCTAAAAAATATCATTGTGGTGTGTCAAACTCACTGTCAAGTTTGTACTGCGTAGACTGAAAAATCTATAGACACCGGCAAAGCGTGTCGCAAAAAGAGACAAAAAAATACGTCACTATGTTTAGGGTTAAGTGTGAGGAAAAATTTACCCCACAACAAGTCATAAAATTAGAAATTAGTACGTAAAGAAAGCCTGAAAAGGGACACTGCGGAGAAGAACACATGCTGCCAAACTCAAATCAATTGCGGTGAGGGTAGGGTGGGGATGGATGATGATGATGTGGTTCTAAAATGTAGTAAGACGAAATTCATAATTACAGCATACAAATGCGTTGAAAATAGTAATGTTTTTAATCAGTATTTTATTTTACCATCAATTTGATAGATTTCATACTAGATATCATTATTAATTAGTCAGTAGTTTTCTTATATTTAGGTTAGTTATTGCATCGCATTGGTTTAATAACTGTAATGATGTTATAAATGTGTAATAAATAATAAATAAATAAATAACTGTCTTTACTTATGTTCTGGCTTCGTGAGTAAATAATATAACACGTTTACTAATAATAATATTTTATTTATTATTGTCTTTTAAATAAAACAAGCTTACGCAGTTCGAAATGGTACTTGGAAATCGCCTTAATAAGTAAGTAAATCTTGGCGGTTTCAAATAAAAGGTTGATTATCAAAATGATTCATCGTAAATACATCCTGGCATTGCTTGAAAGTTGTTAAAAATGAAAGTTGTTAAAAAAGGCTCTTTAGTAACTGCCATTTTTTCTGTCGTTCAGATGATAGTTTTTCGGAGTTTCCAATTCTTTTATAATGTTCGAGGAGACTCTGGAGTCTTGTCCTAAAACCCAAAAAACCGTTAAAACCATAACTTTGTTACTACTGACACAATATTTTCTGATTTACTATTGACAGTTGCTTAGAAATTGCGGGGTTTACTATTTCAACTGCTTTTGACCACTAGTTGACGGCAGTAAATCAACAGCAGGATCAATCTGAAATCCAGTGATTTGTGTGTTAAATCTGCTACACTTTTGGTTTCATAACATCCCTGGACCAAACGGCTTGATAATGAATTATTGTACCAATATGATAACGAATGTAATTTATTTTAATACTGTAGAATACATTTCAAAATATTGTATTGAGTCGAGGGGAAATAATACTATTTTTAGTTAATATTGTTTACTTACATTAATGCTTTAATTATTTTCAATTTCCATAAGTGTTTCTTCATGTAAACTGACGGAGGAAGATGATGGAATCCAGGCTTTTTTCATAAAAAAAACTTAATTATCTTTTAAATATTAATTAAAAACAAAATAGAATATGCTTTTTACAAAAAATTGAATTTAAAGTTCTTTGTATTTTAAACTCCGAACGAGATTCAAGTTTTAATATTGATTATTAATACTTGAATCACGTTCAGAGTAATAAAATGCACAAAATAATGTTTGCACCTAACACGGTAATTGTACTAACTAGTTGTAAAAACGCAAAGCATATAATATTTTTATAAAACCAGGATCGAAACTTAACATGTCATTAACTGGATAATTACTAAAATAAGTACAGCATTAGGTAGTGGTAGAGTAAGTTTCATCTTTGTTATTAAGCTTTTGATGACAGTTTTGGCATCCAATCTGATCGTCCTGTGGCTACTATCCAATTACGATGTAGTTTTTCATGTTCGAGAAAAGTACATCAAGCCAATAAATCTTCCAGGTATTTAATTAACACTGTGATAATTTATAGAAAATTTGGCAACACCAAAGATTTTAGGTTAAAATTTACAATTGTTATTTTTGTCCTTTTTTACGTCTAGACCATTATACACAATATATGAATTTTATAAAATCTTACAGTTTGGCTAGTAACTGATAAAGAGTGGTATACTTACGAATTAAAAGAAAACCCTGGTATTTTCATTCCGCTATCAATTTTATACCTTAAAACACTACACCGCACCATGTTTTGAATAAAAATGGTTGGAATACTACGTCTAAATTATTCACAGCAAAATATAATATGAAATACTGAACATAAAACTTGTAAAGCAGTATTTTATACAAAGAATTTATCACGCCACATGTGAGCTGTCAGCAAAGAGGTTTGCTAAATATTAAAAAACGCGGCACGCTCAGCGAAACAAAAAGTCTCATCGTTCTTTCTCATTTCTTTACACGATATCGGCGTAAGTTGCTCTTTCTCTTGTGAGACTGCAACAAAAGATATCAATTTGTCTATAGCATTCTCTGTCTACGGTGAATTGTAATGTCACATTTGTCACCGCTTTCGCCGTAGACAGAGAAACCTATAGACAAATTGACGCCTTCTTTCGCATTCGCACACGAAAAAGATAGATTTATGCATACTTCTTGCATAGAAATGAGATAGAGCGGTGTGATTGTTTGTCCCTTTCACCGTACCGGTTTTTTTGTTTAGCAAACTCTACAGTTTGCTAAACAACTTTGAAAGCGTAGCGATTTAAGGAGTTTAAAAGTTGGTTTAAGTGAGAAAAAAGTATTTTGTGAGCCTAAGATTGGTGAATCTTGTTCAGTTCAGTTCTTAGAACAATTAATTTTTTTATCTAAATGTGTTTAAAAGTCATAAAGATTATTGTATAACCTAAAAATTCGTTATCGTCCTTTCTCACTCGAGGCCACGCCGATCATTAGTCTATAGGTTTCTCTGTCTACGGCTTTCGCTTTGTTATTGTCGTGGTGCAGTCGGTTGTCGCCTAATAACTATTCTACATAAAAATGATACCCAAATGAATTGTTTTTTCCCTTGCTGTCTATACCCACACAATTTTAAAACAATATGTATCTACACAATTCAATTATAAGCTATTTTTTTGTTATGAAAATAAATCACTAGGTGATCTTAAGCATAGACAATTTCACT